CTCCTTTTGAATCTCAGGCTGTCTCTCCTATGGGGCCACATCAGATCTCCAAAAGGTGGCAGTAAGGGCAGCAGAATGATGTTCCCCTGAGAATACCTGGAAGCCCTGGAAGCAACCGAGCTGCTGTGCAGGAAGGACTCTGGCCCACTCTTGCTTTTAGGGCATGAGTGCGCTGGGAACATCCCCTCACTTAGGGATGGCATAATCTTCAGCCCTTTCTGGCTAACCATCACCTCCCAACACACAGCAGTCAGTCACCAGACCAAGGGAGGCCGGAGCGCTGCAGAGCCAGATGTCCCACGTGTGGCTCTTCACACGCACCGCCCCTGGTGACGTCCTGGGATGTCAGTGAGAATGTCATATTCCAAGCAGGAAAAGAGCAAAGTTTTTCATAAAACAGCAGCCCCCAAGTGCAAACCTCAGCAGAGACACACCAGACCTCCCTGAACAATCTGAACAATGACTGCCTGGGGAAACCAGATGTCCTCAGCACCCCAAGCAACAGTGCTTCACCTGGGGTCGAGTGATGTTATGAAAGAAAGCTCTGGAGGAAAAAGGGAGTAACTTTTACCTCTAGTGCAAGAGGGTACCAAAGCCAGAGAGAAGCCTCTGATGGGGTGACACATGAACCTCAGCTGTGGCCAAGTGGAGAGGGGGAATCATGGCCCACCTTTTCTCCTTGTCCTTCAAGTTCCTACACAACATTTGTGTAGAACTCTTCCTCCTCAGAGCTCTTCTTTCCTTCTGGGGTCCCCCAGGTTTGTCCCCTAGCCCGAAGCCTGGCCAGTAGGTCCACCGAGGTCACCTTCTAGGACATTGGACTGAAGTGAGGGAATGAGCTCACAGCTGGTGCTGAGCTCTCCAAACCTCACCTGGGCCGCCTGTCCAGCACACATACTTGGACTGGGTTAAAGCTGCAGTCTTTTAGGAAGACTCCATGGCTCTGAGCCCAGATACAACTTCCTCTCACCATGCTGACCTCCTGCTTGTGGCACTCCAGACACTGCAGGAAGGACTAGATGGACCCCAGATTATAAGGCTTACTACGGTACACACAGCCTTTCTAGGTGGCCCGCTGTTATCAGGATCCTTGAATGCTGGCCTCAGAAACCACCACCTGTCCACTCTCAGGCACAGAGTCCCAGAAAATGAGAGGAGCTGGGGGGAGAAGGCATGGGGGCAACTGCCAGCAGGTTCATTGGGGGCTGAGCTGGGTGAGCATCCTTCTGAAGCCCAAATCTCAAAGACCCTCTCATGTCCCATAGACTTTGCCTTCCTGGGGATTTACTGGTTTCCCTTTAAAGGGGAATGCCCACCCCTGGCTGTGGAATATAATGCAGGAGCACCTGAGCTCCCCAGATTCTTTCCTTTGAGGAGGAAAGAATAGGGGTACTAGACATAAGTTGGGGCACTGTGAAACCACTACTGGGGACTCCTTTTCAGGGGGCCATGAGTCCCTCCACATTTTCTGCTGTGTTAACTCAAAACCAGGTGGCCCTGTGAAGGCTGATCTGACCGGTCTGGAGACAAGTGAGGGGTGGTAGCTGCCAAACGAGAAAGTACTTGGTCTGCTGGCAGCCCCACCCGAGCCTGAAATCCAGCTCAGCGACGGCAGCACCCGCTCTAACAGGTCAGCCCCACCCATGGAGCCAGGCAGAGAGCTCTGCGGCATGTGTACCCAAACCAACCACTCCACTTTCTTTGTTTAATAATGGAAGAAGGGGCACTGAGGATCCCACAGGCCTCTTAGCTACCCCAGAAACTAGTGGGGGAAGGGTCCCAGCTCCAGAGTGCAGAGAGCAGGGACAGGAAGACTCCATCGGCCTGCCAATGTCTCCACAAGGCCTTATATGGCACTTGCTTATCTTAGTACCATGGTGGTGTCTGCCTGCCAGGAAGCTAAGGACCACAAGCAGGCTGGGTAGAAAGTCATAAGGGACTGGGACTCTGGGACTCTGGCCTCAGTTACAATCCCCATCCCACATGACAATCAAGTCACTTGACTCTGACCCCTAATTCTGGGTTCAACTATGAGATAAGGAGAAGGAGCTGGGTCTCAGATGAGGTTTTGGGAACAGATCTGCAGGGCTGTACCCAGTAAGAAATGAAGCTGAGGGGTGCCAATTAACCAGTTAGGCCTGGGAGGGGACAGCTCCCTGCCTCCTGTACTTGGCAGGCTGTTCTCTAGTTCCTGCCAAGGGCACAGCAGCAAGTGCTTACAGTGGAGAATGGAAGGATTCTATTCACTGTGGAAGCTGGCTTAGGGAGGGAGCTGCTGACTGAGTGAGGCCATGCCAGTGGTCAGTAGCTGAGGGAAAGGGGAAGAGGCCCAGTTCCTTTGGAAAGAGAGAACTGCTCCTTTAGGGCTTTCATCAAATAGTGATAGCTACGGAACAGCAACCACAGTTCTTCCTGCTCTATGAGTGTCTGCTGCATTCCAGGCTTCATGCTTAGCATTCTCTAACTGGGGAAACAGAACTGAGAGGATGGGCAAGAAAAGTGGCCAGGACACTAGACTTGGACCACCGAGCAAAGCAGAAATGACCTGAACAAGTCTAGGCTATCAGGATAAGAAGGCCTGGGAACCTGGAGATACAGAACTCAGGCCTCCACATAGGCTGACCTTGGGCAGGTCAGGAGAGAGCAGACAAAGGCCAAGATCAACTCATGAACTGGTAGAGCTACCTGAACACAGCCCCACCTTGTGTCAAGGCCCCCAGGTCCTGTGCCTCCTGGAAAGGGTCCAGAGGCTGGAAGCAGAAATATGCTGCCTTCCTCCTCATGGTGAAAGCCACCACCACCATCACCACCATGGTGAAAGAAGATTGGGCTCCTCCCATCTTGGAAGATGGTGAGGACCTGCCAGGCTAGGTTCGTATTTCCGGGCATGGTTATTTGGAGGCAGGACACACACACACGCGCGTGCGCACACACACACACACACACACACACACACAGAGGGTCAGGGAGTGGGGTTATTAGACTCTGTGTCCTTAGAGGGCTAATTTAGGGCAGGTTCTGAAGGTCCCAAGCAAGTAGTGCTCGCCACACTCACCTAAAAGCTGAGTGGGGCACCAAGGGGGATCTGTTCTAGGATTGCCCCACTTTCCAGTTGGCACTGAAGGTCTAGATTCAGAGGATGCACTCTGGGAAGTTGATACAATCACTTGTCAGACACAGAACCTACAGAGAAGACCTAGGCATGGCCCTTCTAGAAGTTAGTGCCACCAGTTCTGAACTCTGGCCTCCCACTCCCTTCTGCCTCACTCATGGCAACTAGAGCAAAAGCTGGTGGCAGCTTAGCCCTGGTCACAGGGCACAAGTCTTGTTTTTACGAAGAAATCCTCTGGGAGCTAGAGGAAGAGCTCAACAGGTGAGAGCACTTACTTTGCATGTAGAAGGTCCAGATTTGCCACGATATGGTCCCCCAAACACTGTCAACACAGAGCCAGGAGCAACCCCTGAACACCACAGGAAGTGCTTTCCAAACCCCTCTCACCCACCCCCCTACACACAGAGACTTCTTGGCTTCAGTTGCCCCCAGGTTCAAGCACAGGAGAAGAGGTCACTCAGAGGAGGCTTAAGAGGGTCAAGAGTCTCACTTGTATCCTTTTAGCCCTGTTCTCCCTAAGAAGATAAATGACTCAGGAAATTCCATTTTTTATGGATCCCCTAACTCCACTCCACTATAGTGTTAGAAGATAGAAAAGTTGAATCTGAGAACCAGCCTCACCAGCCGAGCCTGAACCTCCTCCAGACCCAACCTCATGATTCCCTCCAAGACCACCTGAGGACATGACCTCCCTCCCATCAGTCCACATACCTCTGGGAAAGATACAGGCCCTGCTAATAGTCTACAGATATTGGGTCCTTCTCCCAGTGTGGACCATCTTCTTCTTATCACTCTACATGTATCATTCATTCTTACCAAGTACACATCAAGCCTCTTTCCTCCCTGAACAGAGATAAACCTGGTTTCAACGTTCTGATTTCAAAGAGCTGGCAAATGCAGACAGGAAATTAGACTCATATCTATAAAACTCTACATAAAGGGTCATAATTGTAATATCTGTAAAATGGGAAGATCTTTTGCTCTACAATAACTTTCAAAAGTCATTCTCCTTGCTTTGTCCATCCAGATTGCCACTGATAAAAGTTGCAGTTAAGTTCCCAGTGATGAGAGATTCAAGGGACTGTGGGCATGGGACCTGGTTTGAACCCAGAATGATGTGACTCCAGGCAGAACTACACGGCTAGATCAGCCACCCTCAAAATTTCCTGATTCCAGTGAATCAGGGAAGGACCCCCTGGATCAGCCAGGCTCCAGGTATCCTGTGGTGTGACCCAGCTAGATGATGGGCCTGTCCTCTGCCCAGGAACAAGGGTGGATCATGCTTGAAACAGGGCCTGTCCCGTTCAACAAGGGGTCAGTGACTCAGAAGGACCCATTAGCAGTCTCCTGTGCCAGCCATGATGGGTACCAGCCTTGCCCCCCAATCAGCCTCGCGATTCCTGCCCAGGGAGGCAAGAGCCCAAAGAGCCACAAGAGGAAGCAGCCTCAACCTTTCTACTCCCAAAGTCTCAGTGGGATTCAGCCTGGGCCAGAAAGAACTCCAGCCCAGACCTTTTAGAAGAGCTTCTTACCGAAGAGTCAGCCAAGCTGAGTAAGCCACTCCCACCTTGGGCCTAAACATTCGTCCCAGCCAGAACCTCAGTTGGGAATTACTCCTCTCCTGCTTCCGTGTAGGGCTGGCGGTCCCCATACCGACCCCGCCCCCTTGCTCCCTGGGACACTCAGAATTTGACTAGGCTAAGCCTCAGTTTCTCCCCTCGTAAAGTAGAGAGGACCAGAAACCTGCCTTTAGAAGGAACTCGTGGGTGGAACTTGGTGTTCAGAGTAAGCAGCTGAGCAGTACACAAGGTCCAAAGACAATGCCATCACCCACAGACCTTTACTGTGGGGCCCTCTGCTCACCCACGTGGCAAAGATGGTCACTGACCTTCAGGGCACACTTCTGCCCAGTGCGCAGGTGGAAACACTCCAGCACCTTGCCATTCACACCCAGACCCAGCACTTGTTTGGACAACTGGTAATCATCCGTCACTGCGTACTTCTTGGGCTCACACCGCCCACCGTAGGATGGAGCACCGGTAGGGCCAGGTCCGCAGGGTGCACCTGCCCGGGGCGCGGGGACCCCCTGTTCCTCAGCGGTCTCCACCTCCATGGGCCCCGCGGGGCTCTCAGAAGCGCCCCCAGCCTGGCGCGTCCAGGGCCACCTGGGGGAGAGGGAAAGAAAGTCAGCTCAGCTCAGGCTTCTCCAACACACCCAGCCTAAGAGCGGACTGGTTCTCCGGTCCGCATCAGTGCCTGGACAGGGCACGCAGGGGGAACTGCTGGAGAGAACCCGCCGGTCGCAGAGGGCCACGGCGGTCGCGGACCGAGCACCAGAGAGTCCGGTCGGGACACCTGTCAGAAGTGAAGAGTCCAGGAGCCTGGGAGCGGGAGGCGGAAGGGTCCCAGGAGCGCGTACCTGGCGGCGGTGCACCTGGAGTCTCTGGCGGGGTCAGCGAGAGGCAGGGGCGGCGCTCGCGGAAGTCCTGGGCCGCTAAGCGCCCTGAGCCGAGAGTTGCACCGCCTGGGACCCACGTGACCGCCCCCCCCCCCCGCCCCCGCGCGCGTCGGGGACTCGGGCAGGGCTGGGTCAGCCTTAAAGGGCCAGGCGGGACCCAGAAGCCGGGACAGCCTTAGAGGCGGAGCTTCCGGAGGCCCAGACCCGGGCCCACGCTCAGCTGAGTCTCGAGTGGGCAGTGTGAGCGCAGGAGTTTATTACAAGCGATCAAAGAACTGACAGAATGGGAAGTCTTGTTTCTCTTGGAGCCACAGGTGTCTTCTCTGTGCCCTGCCTGGTAACCCTCCAGCATCACTTGTCTGACTTCAGACCTTCTTAGGGGTGACCCACCGCCAGAGTACCTAAGTCTCAGTTTTTGCCAACATGCCCAAAGTGGCATCTCATGATTCATGTTTCTCGACCCCGGAGCATCTGAGCATCTTTCTCCTTCTACATCTCCTGCTTATATACTTAAGGATTCCCCCAGTCTCTGCCCCCCAACACATACACACACACACACACACACACACACACACACACACACACACACCCTTCGTACACAGCATCCTTACACACCAGAAACCCTAAGTACCCATCTGGTCATATCCATCAACTTTTCCTCTTAACATTTGGGCAGTTGTTCTCCTACCCTAGAGAGAGATGCTCTCTATTAGCTTTGCGGTTTTGCCTCCCACACTGTCTCTAGTCTACGCCCTCCATAGACTTTGAGCCAGTTTTCCATCACGGGCTGTTAAAGAACTTATTTAACAAATGTGGAAAATGAGAGTCTGTGAAGAAACAATTTGTCGAGAGCTTCAGGACGGTATTACTGTCTCCATGGAAAAATCTGTGCTACTCCTGCAATCCCCCACCTCCACCCCCAACCCTAGACTGCAGGCTACAGAAATGGAACTGAAAAGATGTAAATTGTGTGGGGAAGTTCCTTGCGGGCCTCTGTCGCCATCTAGAGACTACACTCAGGACTGCAGGCACTGCAGCCTACATGCCACCGTGTTTCAATTTTTTTCTCCTAGTTTCTCCGGTGGGGTCTAGGAATGTCTCGCCCTCTCCCACGACCCAACAAGCACAGGGATATTCGGGATATATGGACAGGCTCTTGCAGCAGTTTCTGTAAAGTGGAAACTTTCTGTATTAGTGCACCGTATCTCCTTGAGATGACCTTCAAACTAGCATCATTCAAAGAGGCCCTAATGAGAGCCGCAGCTGACTGTACTGAACCCTTCTCTCAAACTAAACTCTTGAAGGGCATCCTGTGACCTCACTGGACTGGAGGATAGAGGGCCACTCCCATCCTGTGTCCCACATATACACACAAGCCCTTAGAGGTCAAGCAAGTCACGGAAGATCTTCCTGTCATGAACAAGTCCCCACCTCAGTCCCTGAAGAATGACTCTAGGGATCATCTCTCACATTCAAGCATTGCCTCCTCTCATGTACTTCCCTGATCCTCTTCAAATCCACGGAGAGAAATATGCTTTCACATACATTCACATACAAACACAATATTTATTTATATGCAAAGATACATGTGTGCATTCCCATGTACAACACATACCTCTTTATATACATCTGGACCTAAAACCTCTGTCTTAGCCCCATCTGAAATCTGATCCAAGATCTCATCACTGGGGCCAGGGCAATAGTACAGCGGGTACAGCATTTACCTTGCATGCGGCCAACCCAGGTTGATCCTCGGCATCCCATATGGTTCCTCGAACACCGCCAGGAGTGATTCCTGAGTGCAGAGGTAGGAATAACCCCTGAGCATCACCAGTGTGACCCAAAAAGTAAAAAAAAAAGATCTCATCACCTTGGAGAAAGCCTGTATCTGGAAACTTCTACTGCTTGGGCAAAGGAGAAGCCACTGGCTTAGACCAGGTAAATGAAGCTAAACCTCTTTCTGGACTGATAGGCTCACACTCAAAAGCAGAAGACCAGACCACAGATGATGCAGGCTAGCTTCTCACCACAACCAAAGTATGCTGTGGTTTCTAAAGATACTTCATTTTCTAAAATAGACTTAGATTACAACAATTCTATTATATTTACATGCTCCCCTGAGCACCATCAGGATGACCCCTGAGCATAGAATCGGGAGTATCCTCCAAACACTTCTGGGTGCGGCCCCCAAACCCTCAAGCAATTTTTTAAATTAAAAAATTTAAATTGTATCTTTGAACTGAACCCTTTTATTACAAATTTTAGTTATAAGGGTTAGAGAGATAATATAGGGGGTAAAGCATTTGCATTGCATGCAGCTGACCCAGTTAGATCCCTGTACCACATGGTGATCATTCAACCTCTAACAGGGGAGTTCTTCTGGGGACTATATCATAGAGATCATCCTCAGTGGCTTTGGAATAACTTATAATGTCAAAGAGGTCCAGTGAGTACCTGGGGCTTGCTGAATCCTCCCTTGAGCATGCACTCGCAAGCACGTGTGCACACACATACACACACACACACACACGTATAAGCCACACTTGTGTGAACTGTCCTTTGGGGAGAGGAGAGCCTGTTCTTGGTAACAATATAGGAACCAAATGAGTGGTTGAGAAAAACCATGATTTAGAGTCTTCTAACTTTTCTAGGTGGATGATGGCAGAGGGGCCCCTTGTTCAATCTGGGGGAGAGATTAATCTAAAAGGAAGAATCTGGAAACTTGCCTCTGGGTGGCAGTGTGGGCCACAAGTCAGATTTAGGGTTACCGTGGAGCAGCCTGGTCAGGAGTGATGATAACGAGATGGCCTGGAGGATCCAAAGCCTAGAGCAGGCAGGCATGGGGGGTGGGGGGAAGAAGCAGTGTTCTCTCTTCAACACATTTCTCTGTTTCTTCCCCCTCACATTTCTCTAAGCAAACTTCTTTAAATGAAAAATTATTTTGCTTCATTAAATGGCTGGAGAGATAGCACAGCAGGTAGGGTGTTTGCCTTGCACACAGCCGACTCGGGTTTGATTCCTCCATCCCTCTCAGAGAGCCCGGCAAGCTACTGAGAGTATCCCATCGCACGGAAGAGCCTGGCAAGCTCCCCGTGGCATATTCAAAATGCCAAAACCAGTAACAACAAGTCTCACAATGGAGATGTTACTGGTGCCTGCTCAAGGAAATCGATGAACAATGGGACGACAGTGCTACAGTGCTTCATCAAAAAAAAAAAAAAGCACACTACTGTACCCACAAGGCAGGTGAGGTGCATAGGCTCTCAGATTCACAAAGCCTGGAGGCTCAGAACCTTGAGAGAGTTAAGTTTACACACAGAATGTCACACTTTCTAGGGAAAGCTGGCAGTGTTGACACTGCCTGTACTGAGAGTGGGAAGCTTCACTACTTCCCAGAAGAATCTGGATAATTCTTAGCAGTTGTGCAGTTGTCATGTTAGCTCTAGCTGTGAGGGTTAAGTGATGTGAGTGGGGTTTTGGGGAGCCAGACAGATAGTAACCTCAGTGGAGATGCTACCGTCCTGCTTAATCTACCTCAGTCTCCCCAGGAAAGTGCCTGAGAGTTGAGGAATGGTAAATCTACCCTAAGTGCCTGGGCATGGACACTAGGGTCCCTCCTGCCCCACAAGGTAGTGGTCAAACTGCATCTGAGGTCCACTTGATCTATGCAAGATGGAAACCGGTCCCCGCCACCTGAGTTTTGGGGGAGCTGCTGCCTCAGGCAGGAGGAAGGGAATGCTCTTTGCAGGAGAGGAAAGTCAGTCCTGACTTTTCACCCAGGTTTCTTAAGTTTGTCACCTACTCTCAAAAGAAACTCACTAGAAGGGCTTCAAGATAGCACAGGAGGTAAGGCACTTGTGGACTCTGGCTCCATCCCTGGCTCAGCATATGGTCCCCTAAGCACCAAGAGAAGTAATCCCTGAGCATGGTCATATATAACCCAATCCCCTCCAAAAAGCAAATTTCCAGAGAAGACAATAGTGAATTAAAGTAGCTCTATTTATGAGTGAGAAAAGAGGAACTCTCAGAAAGTAAAAGAAGGAAGTTACACATTCCAAATAGAAAGATTGGCAATCCTGAAAGTCGGTGGGCCCCCACGAGTGGTTTATGTGAGGCCGAGAGGAGAGATGATCACTTTTCCCAGATCCACCTCTGCCACCCAGGGATCAGCTAGGAAGACTAGGACTCATGATGAAACAAGGAATTGCTCTTTGCAAGAAAGGAGAGTCAGTCGTAGGCCTTACTAAAAATTTATAGGCCCTTGTCTTCCTCACAGACAGGAATTTCAGGAGTAGATGAGTAGTGAAGTAAAAACAGATTTTATTTGGCAGTTTTTAGGAAGGGGAAGGAAGGAGAGAAAGTGAGAGAGTAACGTGCTCAAGGAAGAAGATGGTTTTTTCCAAAGGTGGAGAGAGCCTAAACACACATCTCAAAATGGGAGATGCAGGAGACATGATACATGTGCTTAGGCACCACATGTGCTTGGCCATGTGGGTATAAGCAGCACATGGACTCGGGCAGCATATGCACACTCTTCCTTCGTTCAAAGTGGCTTTTATAGAGTTTCTCTAACTCACCCCCACGTGGGATTTTTAGTTAGGTAAGAGATTATTGCTAGGGTTGTTGCTAAGGGAGGATGCCTTGGTATGGAGTTTCTCTGGCAGAGGTGGAGGTCATTCGGTGTCATAAATCTCCTTCGGGTCCTTAATTGCAGTCTCCATCTCTGCTGAAGTTTGTGTCTCCGTGGGGTCCAGCTTCCAAAAGATCTGCCACTGGTGCCAGGAAGATCTTATCAGGCCTAGGCCTTAATTTTTACAGCTTCAGTGTTATTGGACTTATTACTTCTCAAAAATTCCATTGCCATGGGCCTTCTCTTATCCATCCCTGGCACAGTATATGGTCCTCTAAGCACCAATAGGAGTAACCCCTGAGCATGGTCAGATGTAATCCAATCCCTGCCAGAAAACCAAATTTCCAGAGAAGACAATAGTAAATTAGTTTTATTTATGTTTGAGAAGAGAAAAGAGGAACTCTCAGAAAGTAAAAAAAGGAAGTTACACATTCCAAATTCAAA